CTCTAGAAAAATCCATGGGATTGATTACCTGGGGATTTTTCTATGGAATAAGAAAAAAAGTTTAAAATGTTTTTTTGGTTCATGTACCTGCGGATTTAGGTAAAAATAATGTACTTACCATTACTTTTCCCTAGAAGATCAGTGATAATCAATTTCGAATTCAAATGTGAGCTAGCATTTTTCGGGCTTCAATGTAATTCTCTTTCGTCTATGTCCATCATTTTGGACTTAGACATTTTTTTTGTTAGTTCTAGTTCATTAGATTAGGGTTGCATCTATTCTTGTTTAGACTTGTTATACTGTAGATGTTTTGGTACATTGACTTTGAGGTTTTAGGCTAATTCTTCTGTATTGTTATTTTAGACTTTTATTGGAGTTTATGGGAACTCTATTCTCTTTCCTTAGTATTTGACTTATATGTCTTAGTTTTTAGATTATTTGCTTAGTTTCGATTCTAGTTGAGGTTCTTCCATCGGAGTGTTATTATGGGAGTCAATCATGACGGTCTAGATCGTGACAACTAAATAAGGGACTAAAAACAAAAAATATAATTAAATCCCACAAATCAAGCGTATGTTTCTTTCTTCTAACAATCAGTCATTCACAAAAAGTTAACATAACTAGGAAATCAAAATTTCAAATTGTCAAATTGTATCTCCCTATTCTTCCAAAAACAGCAGAAACTTGATTCAAAAAAATTTGCAGCGAAGTTTTTTGAAGATTCATAATGAATATTTTTGATATTGTTAAGGGATTCGAGAATATGAAAAAGTGATGTTAGGTACGAGCAAAACAAAGTGATGGAATAGTGGTTGGAAAAAATATATCATTCGTGAACCTTATTTTCGTCATTGCACCTGAGTTAAAAGATTTGATAACAAAAGGTATGTGAACTAATAATCTTGTGATACACAGATTGTATAACATTCTTTGTTTTTTTTATGAGCTTCTAACTATATTATTCATGATACACTGTTATTAGCAACTATATTCATAATTAGGTTTCATCTTATGTATTAGGTGTTGCATCATATGTGTAAGGTGTTTAGATTTGAGTATTATTGCTTGATAATTACATAGTGTCATATATGTTTGAAAATAGTTCTTTATTCTTTTAATGTATCGATGAATAGAAACGAATAGTTATGGTACATAGGTATGTTTTGTATCATTCTTTTATATGTATCTAAGACATGTAGAATTGTGGGGATAGTAATATGTATGATAAACTAATCGTATCGATTATCTTTGAGTTGAGTCATAATAATGTACCTTGAAGTGTTTTTTTTAAGTATTAAACAAAAAATAAAATTTGATATAATTGCAGTTATATATTAGTGTGTTATGCAATTTCAATGAAATTAATGTCAGACAAAATTGATCGGTCAGTTTCGAAATGTATTTTGAAAAAAAATTGTCTTGCCACCAAGATACAAAAAAACGCTCAGCAGATCAAGGAATAAAAAGGAAGAAACAGATGAAAAACAAACATCAAGCACGAACTGCTATAGGCGATGTGGACAAGAAGGCCACAATCGAAGATCTTGGACTTTCTTCCCGAAATAATCTTGATCAATACTTTTTTGGAGTATTTTTCAGATCGAATAATTCTCAAATTCTAATATATATTTTTCACTGTTACAAATGGTTACATTAAAAAGTATGGACAATGAATTGAAATGTTACGTTTTTTAGTTCTGTCTATATTTTTTATCGTTAAATTCTGATAAAATGAATTCGACATATATATTGTGTATTTTTTGTATTTGAAACAAAAATATTTTCAAAATTGTATTGATTAAGTAATTAATGTATTTGTAACTTCTAATAAGTACAGAAAATATTGTTACATTACATTGATTTGTTTAACATAATTCAGTCTGATACTTAATTCTTTAAATTTTATATGGATAATATAGTTTCAAGTGTTGTTATATTTGCCTAGTAAGATTTGTGATGTGTATCAGATAAGAGACATAATGTTAAAAGGTGCTAATAATATATTACAAATTAAGAGGATTGTAAAAGAATTCTGCAATCTTTTAGATCTAAGTTTTGGTTGTTTGAAATTATCAGTTAGTACTAGGTGAACCTATTTGGATAATCACAATACTAAATTAAGGAGCATCCGTATGTATTAAAAAATGATGAAATAAGAAAAAATCAAAAAGAATATTGAAGAAGACAAAAATGCCTACAAATCTGAAATCAATTGAGTAAAAAGAAATCTCTTAAAATTCAAATTCTGATTAATGTGGTAACTGCTTTGCTTATGTGAGTGAAAATAAGAATTGAAGGAGTAAATATATGAGTTAGATGTAACATCTCACAATTTGAAATAGTTAGGAATAAGCTAAGAAACTAAAAATATTTAGTTTTAGAAAGAAAAGAAAAAATTCTGGAAAATTGTCGAAGTTAAGAAAGTGAGTTTTGGTCATTTTCAAATGGCTATTACTTCTAGTTCATTAGAGGTAGTTTTTGATATGTTTGGTAAGCCCTTGGAGACATATTTCCATCGCCGTCGAGTTTGCGCATTTTCGATATATTATGAGTGAGTTATGTTTATCAGAAGTTGGATTGTTAAATTGAGAAAACCCATATCCGGATTTAAGGAAGGGCAAACTAGTCTTTTCACCAATTAATTTCCTATTTATTTTTAGGGGTTTGTTGGGGTAAAAACTAAGTTTAGGTCAGTTTGGAAGATTAGACTTTACGCTTAAGGCTTGGAGAAGAGAGAAAAGAAGAATGAAAGGGAGAGAAGTCAAGGAATTCGCCATGAACATCAAGATTTGCTAGTAAAATTAATCGGGAGTGATCACTATCAAGGTATGTGAGATATTTTAGTGTTGGGTCAGTTCACTCACACTAAACTTGTTTAAATTCATTGATTTTTGAATTGGTTGAATCAAAATAGTGAATTTCTTGAAGATCATTGTTGAATTCCTATTGGTTAAATTGTTGAGTGTCTGTTGTTGTATTGATTCGTAATTTTGAATTGTTTTTTGAATTAGATCTATTGGGCATTGAAGGTACTAACAATTCTAAGGGCTTGGAAAAAGAACTATGAAGGTTTATAAGGTTTAACATTGAAAAACGAGAGGAGAAAGTCGTCAAACACACCTGGGCAGCACCAGTCGCAGCACCCCCCATCTGCGTCATAGGTCCTGGGGCGGCGCGCCTGCAGTGCACCAGGATAAGGCCTCTGAATTGAGGCTTGGCGTGACGGACCCCAAATGTGCCCAAATTGGCATTTTTCGTCAAGTTTTCGTAGTTTAGCCTATTTACGTCCTTTTAAAGTGTATTAACACTCTCCAATGATTATAATTACTTCAAATGATTTCTAAAAACCTAAGAATCACCAAAAACGAGAATCCTAACCTTGAATTCATAATTTCATTCAAGAAAAGTTATGATCAAAGTCAAAGAAGTTAAGAGTCAAGTCTAAAGTTAAGAAGCAAGTCCATAAAAAAGTTCTTAAAGGTTTTAAGAGTCTTTAGCAATGTTGAATCTTGTTTTATGACTCAAGTTTCAAGTTAAGTAACAAACAAAGAGTTGAATTCATTTTCTCAAAAAGTTATAAGGGAGCTAAATATTCCCTTAGAGTTGATTTAAGACTCAAGTTTCGAGCTAAGTAAAGAGTAAAAAGTTGAGTTCATCTCCAAAAAGTTATAAGAGAACTAAGTATTCCTAAAGAGTTTATAAATGTTTTTACATTTAAGATAAAAGGAAACTAAGATTTTCATAAGAATTCTGAGCAAGAAAAGAGAACATCGATTCCGAGAGAGCTTTTAAAGCTAAGTGTTGAGCAATTATCTCAACCCAAAGAAGAAAGTTTGTTTTAAAAACACATGAGCTAAGTATATTTTGGGAGTAATATTGAGCACATGTATGGGGATGTGAGTTCATAATGACTTAAGTCTCCATAAAACCATGTAGTCATCATGAGTATTAATGTCATACTTTTTAGATGATCTCATAAGTTAAGTTAGTGGATCCACTAAGTTAAGTAGTTCTATGCAACGACAAAGTATTGAACAATTCTGGCAGCATGAGCAAGACGTTGTATCACCACTTAGGCTCATATTGATGGTTGTCGGTTAGAGAATCTCCCGCAGAAATCTATATTACTTTATATATAAGTAAAGTAAGTTTGTTATTGCGTTTCTTTAACGAACTAAGTGTTTTTCAAGTTTTTATACATTGTATGTGTTTTATTACTTAATATTAAGTCAAGTTATTCATGAGTTGACTAGAGCTAAGGTAAGTGTTCCTTCTTACTCTTATTTAAACTTAAGTTGTTGCTAGCATTGAAACTCGCATACTAGTATATTTAACGTACTTATACCAGTGGTGTGCATCGTATCATGATGCAAATGCAGGTAACCAGGATCAGCATCATCCAACACCTCGTTGATCCAGCTGAGTACTCGGGGTCAGTGGTGAGCCTCTTTGGATTCTGGAAGACACATTTATTTGCTTTTCAGTCTTTCTTTTATAGGATGTTGTGGGGTTTGTCCCTACACCCATCTTAGCATTTTAGAGGCTTCATAGAGAGTCACACTGTTAGTATATAGTCTCTCATTATTTGTATAACAGATATAAGACTTAAGTGTCATTTAGCAAACTTGTTTTCTTTTAAATTATGAAATGAGATTGTTTATTTTGAGTTAAGTCTTCCGCTGAGTTTAGTAAGCTAGATCAAGGGTCCGCTCAAGGCTAGTAATGATTTTTGAGTGCCCTCTACGTCCAGGATGTAGGATCGGGGCGTGACAATAGAAATCTGAGTTTGAAATGAAAATGAAATAATGTATCCGGTAATTGAGTTTTGAGTGAACAAAAAGGATTTTCGTATTATTTTAAAATGGTAGGAAAATATTGAAAATTCTGTAACTAATGGTGTATAATTTGGTCATTTTTCCATGTTTAATTATTATTTAAGTTTGTACTGAAAAGATCAACCCAAAGTATGCTTAGCCCAAGAAAACAATCAAAAAAATAGTCCAGCCCATTAAGTGAAGCTATTGGCTTCTATATCATGTATCTTAAAACGTAGGGTTTCTGAATTGAACTTCCTTTCTTTCTCTTCATGTCGCCGCAGGGAGCGTAGTAAAATAAAATTTTTCTCTGTCAGTCGCTTTGGATCATTAACACTTTTCTCTTAGTTGCCATGTTTTCACTCTTTCTCAGCTCGCATAGGTAGTTTTCCAGCTTGTTCTTTCCTTTATTCTTCATTTTTTATTCTCTTTTCTCTTGTAGATATATCTTCGGTGGATCGGTGGTTATGAAGTGATTTCAACAGAGGTGTCTCATTTTGTGTGGTGGCTCACAACTCTCGTTAAGTCTTCATCTTTTTTCTTTTCTTTATCTATCATTCTCTATCAGTTTCTGCATTTGTAACAGAATCTCATCATGTAGATTATCTGAAGCTCATCCTTATCTCTCATTCTATTAATTTAGATCTCCCCCCTCCCTCCCCCTCCACCTCATAAAAAAATAAAAAATAAATTAAAAAATATACATATATTTTGCCTTTTGGTCCATCAATATATAAAAAATGTACATATATTTTGCTTTTTGGATCAAAGATTGAAAAAAGAAAAGGCCCTTGGGCCACTTGACTGTAAGGAAAGGGGTTCGACTCAACATTTTGATTTTTTGGCCTATTTAATCAACTTATTTTTGCTTTCATTTTTTCACATTCCAACTTTCTTTTCTATTTATTCTTATTGAAATATTTTTTTACTTTTTCTCTTATATAATTTTTTAATAAAAGTAAATTGGTCATGAAATTTCATAAAATAATTATACCTTGTCAGAGTTCGAAATAGAAAAACTGATTGATTTTGTGCTGAAATCAAATACTCATTTAACCAAAAAATAATTTGATTGGGCACTTTCATTATTGTGGATGAAGCTTCCGAAAATTACAAGTTTAAGAAGCTTGAATTTGAAGATACGAGACCTCAATTAAGAGATTTTTGAATTTAAATCGAACGGTAAACTACTTTTTTAAACTATCATGGATTTCTCTACATCTTTTTGTCTATCTTTTCGGACACAGACTTTGGGTTATTAGATTTTTGTGTCACTTTCGTGGTTGCATCCCCATTTTGTCTATTTGAAGTTTTGTTACTACAACTTCCATCAGTTTCTAGGGGTTTATTTTTTCAAATATTGTCACTTTTAATTGAGTTTATGGTAACTCAATTCTTTAGGAGTTTTGAAATACTTCCCTTATATTTTTATTATGACTTCACAAGTTTTAAGTTACTCTTTGAGTTGAGAGTTGGTTCTCTCGTGGAGTTAGTATGGATCACTATTCATGATGGTCTGGATCGACAGAATCGTGATACTTAAATTTTATATCAAATCAAATTAACTCATATAAAATGACATACAAAAATACTTAATATAATATAAACTATGCAAAATATAATAAATAAATAAATAAGTTGCTTTCTAACCAGCAACAAAACGACATTTTAAGGATAAGCTAGTATCAACCATTTATTCGTACGACCATTTTCAATTCTTCTATTTTACTCTCCATTCTCTATATTTGGATAATAAAATAGAGAATTGGATCTCCAACCACTCTCTAAAAGGCTCTTTATCCTCTATTTATATAGAGGTGGATAATAGTTCTCTAAATATACAAAACTACTATTTCACTTTTTCATTATTTTAATATAATTCTACTATTTGTAACTAACATTTTATTTTTCACATAAGGCTATTAATTAAATTTTTAGTGTTCATAATTCTTTTTAATATAATATAACATGTTAAAAATATATTATTTAGTAAATATTACTTTCATCCCGAATTAACAATATTTTAAATATACTTTTTTTCAATTTTTGTCAGTTCAAGAGATAATTTGATATTATTATCATTATTGTGAAGAATGCACAAAATTTAAATTTAAAAATACAATACATGAAATAATAATTTAAATACAAGATACCAATACAATACATAACATAATGATTTTTAAAATCATAATAATAATTTAGTACTCCGGTAGGTCATTTTTCAGATTTAACAATATTCGAAAAAAGAAGTGTATGATCTAGTGAATTATGGTGTTTGTTATTGCGGTTGCGCTTGTTGATTTCTCTTTTCAATTATTCATAGTTGTTTTTTTAAAATGTAGAATAAAATATAATTTTATACTAAATAAAGACTTTTAAGAAAATAATAATTTTAAATTATACGAAAAATATTTAGAGTGATTATTTTGAAAAAAGAATGAATGAATTTATATTATGAAATAAGAAAATGAAATTGAAATAGAAATAAAAATATAATATTGAGGGAAGAGAATACGATTCATTTTTAGAGAGTAAAATGGAGAATTGAGTTGGAGTTTTTTTTAACAATTTGAGTTGGAGTTGGTTGTCTGAAAAAATAGAAAACTCTATATTTGGGGAGTAAAATTGAGTGTATGGATGGAACTGATCTATTTTACCCTCCAAAAATAGAGTTTTATATTTTTTCAGACAATCATTTCCAACCTAAATTCTCCAGTTTACTCTCTAAAAAGAATCATATTCTCTCTCCTAAATATTATATTATTATTTTTATTTATTTTTATTTTTTTATTCCATAATATAAATTTTTTCTTTCTTTTTTATGAATAATCATCCAATATAATTTCATGTAATATAAAATTTTAATTTTTTGAATTTTTTTGTTTGATATTAAATTGTATATTACTCTAAATTTCTAAAGAGCAACTACGAATAATTGAAAAAAGAAATAAACAAAAACAATCGCAATCACAATCACAACTTCTTTAAATCATACACTAACTTCTTTTTCGAATATCATTGAATCTAGAAACGACTTACCAGATAACTAAATTATTGTTGTGATTTTTAAATTATTATGTTATGCATTGTATTTATTATTATCTTGTATTTAAATTATTATGTTATATATTACATTTATAAATTAAATTTTTTTATCTTATCATTTATATTTTGTGCATTCTTCATAATGAAAATTGATAAAAATTAAATTGTATCACAAAGTTACGAAAAATAAAAAAATATATAAAACATTATTAATTCGAGATGAAAGTAGTATATATAAAATAAAATACTTTTAAAGTTGTTATATTAAATTTAAATGCATATATTAGAGATTTAATTAATAGTCTTATATAAAAAAAATATGAAAATTACAAAAAAATATATAATATTCAAAAAGTGAAATAGAGAGTATGCTCCAAATTTGGAGAATTACTATTTAATTCGCTATAATTAAAAGGTAAAGGATAAAATAGAAAATAATTAAAGAGTATGTTCATTAATTTAATCTTCAAATATAAAAAATGAAAAGTAAAATAGAATAGAATTGGAGATGATTTAATGTAATAAATAAAGAGGTCTAAAGTCATTGTGTCACTTTTAGCAGTCAAACTTGATCATAGAAATATGTGGTCTTATATTATATAGTTGGAGAAGTCTATCTAACTCATAAATCGTAATTGATAAACAACAAAGAGAAGTACTGCCAAGTCCCACAAATAGTCGTTTCAGTCCCAAACAAAAGGAAAAGGAAAATATAAGTGTGGATGATGAAAGAGTAGAATTATATTATAGTTCAATTTATACGATATAATTTTAATTTTAATCATTAAATTAAAATATTTGATCATAATTTATTCGTATAATCATTAAATATTTTTAAGCAATATCAAATGCTTGTAACTTTCCATCAACATCAAATGTTCTGTTTTCCACAAATAATAAATGAACAATAAAGGTGCATTCAACAAAGATCAATTCAGAAATGACAAAACAAAATTTAAGAGTTTGTTACTTACATGTGATAGAACTTAGAGTTTTTGACCAAAATGAGCTATTTTTAGAACCAATTCACCAAAATAATATGTTTTAAATTTTATTTACAAAACTAGTATAAACGTACTTCATGGTAACGTTTTAGGATATTTTCATTATAAAAATTCAAAGGACAAAAAGTTAACAGGTTGGCGACGTTAAACGCATAAACGTAACTTTGAGTAACGTTTTAGGTGTAAAAGGTTACTCAAGAGTACGTTTTGGAGAATACAATCACGGGTCACTGACTCCAATCCTGCAAAAGCGCAGTCAAATCATTCAACTGTAAAACGTTACTATGAGTAACGTTTTACACCTAAAATGTTACTTTCAGTGCCGTTTCTTAAGAATCCAATCACGGGCCTTCGACTTCTGCAAATTTAGAATATATTTAGCCATAAAATGTTACTCACAGTGACATTTTACCTTAAAAACGTTGTTGTCAATTACAACACTCTGTTAAAGTCATATTCCTCCATTTTTCAAACTGACCAAAGTGACTATAAATAAATGTTGTTGTAATATTTTGCATGTTCAAATATAATTCGGCAAAAATTTTCCTTGTGTGGTCCATTTTAAAAATAATATTCACAAAATTTCATCTGGTATGAGCGAGCTTGTGGATTATGAGTGAGCTACGAGGTTAGATCTACACATTGTCTGCCTGTATAATCCACAAGCTTGCTCATACACTGTAAAACTACGATCCATTTCATTATGTATTCTAGTTGTCCTTGGACGATTAGGACGACGATAGAATTCATTACTTCTCATTGTAAAACTTGGAGATGGCTAATATGACTCATGACCAATTGGTGAGAATGACCCAGAATATGTTGCAACATAATTCTCTATTGTGAAATGCTCGCTAACAAAATTTCTAGCTAGCCCTCCCATTCTATCAGTTACCTTCATGACATGTGAACACGGGAAGTGCAGATTAACCCATTTTCCACAATCACATTTTCTTTCATTTAGTGAAACACGATGAGGATTACCACCAGTACCATCAACTTGTATAGATGTAACCTCGTATACTCCTATGGGTATATTCCAATCAGAAACAAAGTGCCTCTTTGAACTTTCATAATTCTTCTCCCACTTTATTTTGAACCTCTCGGTCCATAATTCATTTTGCTCTGCAAGTTGGTGTGCTATTTGAGACCTACGGGTATACCGTTCAATAGTTTGCTCCAATGAAAGTCTAATCATAGCAGTGATAGGCAAACCTCGTGCTTTTTTCAACACTCTATTGAATGACTCTGAAAGATTTATTGTCAACACTCCCCATCTTTTTCCATCATCATTGCTAACAGTCCATTTATCCAAGGGAATTTCCATGAGGTATTCATGTGCTTCGATATTTTCTTCTTTAATTTGCCAAATCATGGACTCAAACTTTCTTACTTGATGGGCTGAAGTAGCTCTCCACATCAATCTGCTGAGGTCCTTGTTTGAAAATTTAGATTGAAAGTTGCTCTTAAGATGTCTTATGCAAAATCGATGGAAGACTCGAGGCTCTTGAAATCGACGCAGCTCCCGCAAACTAGTCAAGATTCATTTTGCCCTATCAGATATAACACATACATTTTGTCTACTTTTTATCACATGTGCACTTCAATTTCTAATAAACTATTTTCATGCCTCTTTTGATTCTTTTTCTACAATAGCAAACGCTAAAGGGAGAATGTTATCATTTCCATCAATTCCAACAGGAATTAATAATTTGATCTCATATTTTCCATAAATATGATTTCCTTCTACTAAAATAACTGGGCGACATGTTTGGAATCCATCAATGCATGACTTGAAAGCCCAAAATCGTTACAGCCATTTTCAACTTTTCTTTACTACTAAAAAACATACCTTTTTTTAAAATCTTTTTTTGCTTGCTTAGACCAAACTGAACAACATTCCATCTCAGATTCACATGTAGACATGAAAATGTCTTCCTCATTCTCTAATATCCTGAAATAGGTATGTCATGAGATACACCCTGATCATGATTATGAAGATTTACACCATTTTGAGAAAAATCTCTAATATCATCGATATCTTCATTAGGTTCACTTCCACCATCTTTCGGAGGTTCATCTTCCTCCGAACTTTCCTCACTAATTTCAGCATTTACATCATTATATAGATCAACGTTGATATCAATATCTATGTAAAAAATTTTTAGTCAAATTCTAGCAAAATTATAAATATACAATCTTGTTTTAAAAGTGATAATAAATATTCTAAAATATTATTTCTTCTATTTATAAGAGATAATTTGTGTATACTGACAATAAAAATTATCTTATTAAATTGTTAGACTAAAATTTAATATAATAAAGATTTGTTGTTTACCTAGCCTCATATTCCATGTGACTATTATCAATATGCATTTGACTACTTGAGCCTTCACCAAATGATCGATTATCATGCATCAACAATTGTTGAAATGGTGGTTGAACAATCGGTTCTACAAAATGAGGTTGATTGATCGTGGTAAGCCATAATTTTGAGCCAACAAATTCATGTGATAATCATGATGACCACTAACTTGAAATGCAACATTTTGATCTGTCGATACATTCTTTACATACATCTCCAAAACATTTATATCAATCTTATCCGCAAATTTTTGAGGTATGAAAAGAAATTGTAACAAAGATTGGTCATTCTCAATTTTAAACTCAATGAACCTTGTATTGATACCTTGAATTGAACATGGATATTTTCCAGAAATATCCATATGAATATTTTCACTATATGTTTCCATTTTCTCATGCAACAATATAACCAATTCAACATAGGTAGTTGAAGTCAACATGCTAATAATCGTTCTAGCACATTCAGTATACCTAAATTCGTTCATATCCGTAATTATTTCTCCACCCCAATACAAAGCAACCATCACATTATGTTCAAAGCTCGTCATCTTAATCATACACATAAAGATAAAATATTTTTTAAAATAATATTATTAAATTAGAAAGATAATTTTAAAGCTATAATAAGAACATAACAAAGGATAAACTTCACTTATTTAATTCATACCTGATGAAATTTTGTGAATATTATTTTTAAAATGGACCAAACAAGGGAAAAATTTTGCTTAATTATATTTGAACATGCAAAATATTACAACAACATTTATTTATAGTCACTTTGGTCAGTTTGAAAAATGGAGGAATATGACTTTAACAGAGTGTTGTAATTGACAGCAACGTTTTTAAGGTATAACGTCACTGTGAGCGTTTTATAGCTAAATATATTCTAAATTTGCAGAAGTCAAAGGCCCGTGATTGTATTCTTAAGAAACGGGACTGAAAGTAACATTTCAGGTGTAAATTTGACTCCGCCTTTGCAGGATTGGAGTCAGTGGCCCGTGATTGGATTCTCCAAAAAGTACTCTTGAGTAACGTTTTACACCTAAAACGTTACTCAAAGTTACGTTTATGCGTTTAACGTTGCCAATCCGTTAACTTTTTATCCGTGGAATTTTTATAATGAATATATCCTAAAACGTTACCATGAAGTACGTTTATACTAGTTTTGTGAAAAAAATTAAAAACATATTATTTTAGTGAATTGATTTTAAAAATAGCTCATTTTGGTCAAAAACTCATAGAACTTAAAAACGACTCAACCAAATATTAAAAAGTGTGTTTGGATCAATCAAACTCTCGTTGTAAGTAGTTATATTAATCTTGTCACCACGTTTAACAAATGAATCACACCATAACCAAAATCTCCCTTTGGATGTTTTGAACGAATCACGTATTACATCGCGACACTTAAATCAATGGCCAATTTTATTTCAAATATTTAAGTCCAAGATTCCTTTGTCTTTCATTGCCCACAATGTAAAACTATACTCCCATCAACCTTACAAGCAGAAGAAGAACAGATTTATATTTGTTTTACAACAGATATAATATGTTTCATGCTCTCCCGATCTCTCTCGTCTCTCTCCTTCTAAAATGAATACAATTATGTTCATTTTGATACAAATCAGTTGTATCGATTGTATTCGTGATACAATCTGATACAACAAATACAAAAGGAATTCAACCTCCCTCTCCTCTCTCTTTTCATATCTCGCTCATTTCTCTCCTTTCTCTACTCTTGGTAACATGTAATTATAATTCAAATTAACTAATATATGTTTATAGATCTCCAATTAAGCCCAAAGTATACTCATTTATCGAAATATGCTAACTTATTGTAAGTGGTATTTAAAACGTCTTAATATTTCTATTGTCCTTATGATTCTATTCATTTTATTTTACTTGTATACAAAAAAAGAGGTGTTTCATTGCTCGTCAAGTTTACCAAATTATGTTTTTTTGGCAGTACTCAAATTTAGAGTTTAAAATATTATTAATAAGATTAGTTAATAAGTAAAATATACTTCTAACTAAAATTTTCTTTTGAGATGTGTCGAGTGTACTATATCACATATATCCTATGAGAGTGGTGTTATGCATCTTAGGGTGGTATTAAATTTACTTTTGAATAGTAAAGATGTTTAATAGATCATCATGATCGTTTAAGCGTGTAAGTGACTTTTTGAGACAAGTTCAGCAGAAAATTTATTTCCTTTTCCTATTTAATATTAAGGGGATAATACCTATTACCCCCCTAGCCTATACCCAAAATCTCTACGACACACCTTATCTTTGATGAGGTCCTATTACCCCCTCCAACTTGTTTTTTAAGTAATATACTACCCCTTGCGTGCCTACGTGGCAAAAAACGTGTTTGCACCCATGTAGGGCGAGTGAGTGCGGAATGAGGGCAGAGTGAGTGCAACTTTTGGTTAACAATGGCCAATGAAAATGAGCCACGTGTCAAAGCAATTTGAAAAAAATACAAAAATGAATTTTATTGTTTCTCTCAAAAACATCTTCTTCCTCTTTTCAAAAAAATACCACCATTTTTATGCTTCTTTATTTTGGAAGAAGATCCATTATCATTCAAGCTCCTTGATTTGAAAAGGTAAAGTAAAATTTAATATATTCTTTACATCTTTTTATGTCGATTATTAATTCTTATTTTTTGACAATGTTTATAAAGTTAGGATTATGACAAAATACGAGTTGAATAAGTTGTGTATGGATGAGAACGATTCAATGTTTAACGCGGAAGTGCGATGCAAGCATGGAATCTTACTGCAAATGCAGACGTCTTGGTCAAATCGCAATCCCGGAAGACGATTTTGGTCTTGTCCTCACTATGAGGCCACAAACTGTAATTTCTTTAGATGGAGAGACACGGAGAGAGTTGATGAAAGATCTCGTTTTATTATTCCTAAATTGGTGAATAGGATTAACGAGTTAGAAAAAAATTATGAGCGTGTGAAGATGCAACTGGAACAGCTTGATAATTCCAACATTGAACAGTCAAAACTAGAGAAAATTCCTTTGGATGAAGGTGAAAGTCTTCGAAATCGTTATAAAAATCTGAACATCAATTCAAAGGAGAAGGTTGACAATGTAAAAGAAATGGGTGAATTGAAAGACAAGAAGAAGATGAAAGGGATGAAAATGAAGAAAACAAATAAAGGCTGTTGTTTTGGCAAATTCCTTTGTTGTCTGATGATTTGCTTTGTTGTTGTATTTGTTAGTTTTCTAACCCAAGTTGGTAGGTATAAGGATCATATGAAATTGCCATAATTTTGTGTGGTACTACAAAACCTTTATTTGCTCTATTGTAATGTAAAATTGAATTTGTTTGTGTTTGAAACTGTCTTAATTCTCTATTTGCCATGTTGATATGTTTGTGTTGAAAGTTGTAAAATGTAGTAAAGCAACAGGTATTAATCATTCTTGAGAGCAAATTGTAAGTACAAAGTTGATTGTGAAAATGTCGAGAATTAGTCACAGCGCATAGGTGCCCAGAATTTCATTGCTTAAGAGCAAATTTTCAGTACAAAATCTAAATGTGCCCAAAATTATACAAGTCACAACACATACGCAAAATAAAGTTTTCACATTGCATAAGTACCCGTAATTTCAGTACTATAACAAAAAATAGGAATATTTAGTTTTCCTTCAAACATGAAACAAAATAGTACTTATAGTGGCCACCAACAAAGTACTGATAAAACACCATTGATATCAACATTATAGTTTCCATGGGTGTTGAGCTTGTGAAGAGGAGGAAGCATTTGGGTTTGAAAGCCTTGATTGATCTCTAATCTGCTGGAGCCTTCTAGTTGTGATTGCCTGATTTCCTTTCCACTTCAATCCGTTTGTCGGTTTGAAACCAACATCCCCAGTTACAATACTTGATCTCAAAATTCTCTTTGGTCTGGCTAATATTGTGCTACTTGGCAGTCCAGGCTACAAAATTTTTAGAGAACTAAGATTATTAGAGAATAAATGTGCAAGTTATTAGAGAACAAACAATATGAATGCATCGCAATACTTGCATTGAAAGTTTTGAAACCATTTTTAGCTTGAAACACACTCATACCAGTGACTCTTGGCTTTTTAAATTGAGTTGTGTTTTCAACACCCTTTCCTTTCCTGGTAGTAGCAGTTTCCTTTGGTGCAACATTTGTGTTCTGGTCTACACCATGTGTTGTACTACCTTGAGAAAATGTAAACCAATTTTCAAGTGGATGATTACTACCTCTTCCTGCACTTCCCAATCCCCTATCCCTTCCTCTACCACTCCTGGATCTTGATAATACTCCAACACCATTTACACTTGCACATTCTTCATGTGTTGGTGCTCTTGAAGTTGTAGGAGGTGCAGTGGTTCTAGGAGAGGCCCTTGATGCACTTGCACTTGCTCTAGCTCTTGTTGTTCTTGAAGTTGTTGGAGGTGCAATAATTGTACATGAATCCCCTGTTGCACTTGCATTTGCACTTGTGTTTTTAGGTCTGCCTCTCCCCCTTTTGGCAACAGGCTCACTCTCAATATTTGTTGATTTCTAATTAGCAAAAAAAATATATTATATTAGTAAGTTGATTACACTTTAAAAGTAAGTGACAAAATAGTAATGTACCTTTGGTCTTCCCCTTCCTTTTTTTGAACTTGATGGTTCTTCAACACTTGAAGTAGGGGTAGCTCTCTGTTCCCCGGCAGTAGAACCAAAACCATCACTCCTTTATAAATGACAACTTCTTTTATTGTGACCTTTAACATGACAAAGACTACATGTCATAGTTAGTCCTGTTTTAGATAATTTACCACACACCTTCTTTTCACCAACCTCTTTCCTTCTCAACTTTCTAGGTCTGCCTGGCATTTGTTTTATCACTGGTGGATCAACAAGAGGATTTTTTGATTCTGGCCACATTGGCATGTTATTCATAGGTTGTATGAAGTGTGAGTAAGTCATCAAGTACCTCTCTTTAGAGTAGCATGGATGAATGAAATCATGTGGGTCATATTGTTTATGCAACATTGCAGCTAAGGCATGTGCACATGGTATACCCTTCAACATCCAAGATCTACAACTACACTCCCTCTTTCTCAAACATACAGTGTGTTGTTTGTATCCATCCAAAACCTCATAGCCAGTTACTCCATTAAACTCAATGTTACATGCCATTGACTTATCAATATTTTGTTCTAGTACTTTCATTGCCATTGGAGAGAAACTGCTTATCCAAGAGTTTGGAAATTCACTTAACCTAGCTAACCTATTCATGACCTTAATTCTTATCTCTTCAAGCATAGAAATAATGATTTTATGCCTTGCAGACAAAATCCAAGCATTAAAGCTTTCACACATATTATTATCTATAGCATCAGACTTGACTTCACAATTAAAATACACCTTACACCAATATTCTTTAGGTCATCCACTATACCTATACCTCCAGTACCTAATTTAGACAACTCATGCAGATTTTCTCTGAATTCAGCTTCAAAAGTACTTCTAGCACACTTCCAGAACTGCTTCTTCCTTTGCAGCCCTCTCCAATTCTTTGACCAATTTGCTAGTATATGCCTAGCACACCTTCTTTCCTCACAAGCTGGCAACAACTCCTTTATAGCTATATCCAGTCCCTAACAGTTACAACAAACATTAGATAATTAAGTTTAAAAAAGGGATAAACCAACAGATAATTTAAAACAAGTTTACCTTTTGCATGTCTGACATAATTGTGAAACTTGTTCCATCTCCTAATCTCAAGTCTTCTTTCAACAGAGAAATAAACCAACTCCAAGTGATTCTGTTCTCATTTTCAACTACAGCTCAAGCAAGTGGAAGCATTTGATTATTGCCATCTTTAGCCACTGCAATAAGTAATTGACCCCTGCAAACCCCCTTCAAGAAACAACCATCCAGACCAATGCATTTTCTAGCTGACATAAATGTCATCTTGAGTGCAGCAAAACAAATGTAAAATGCCTCAAATACTGGCCTACCAGATTCATTAGCTTCTCCTACCTTCACCACACAAGTACTCCCAGGATTAGTCCTCAGCAACTCATCCTTATAATCAAGAATTCTCCCAAATTCCTTAACATGATCACCCATAAGTTCATTCAAAATTTTAGCTCTTGCTCTTCTAGTTGTGGTCTTACCAACATGCACATTATACTTCTTACGGATTAACTCTTGCAGCTTGAACACTCTGATATTTGGTTGTTCAATAACTTTCTTTTTAAAAACAGTAGCAATGAATCTAGAGTTGCACAAATAATTCCTAGTAGCCTTTTGAAATGAATGGACTGGCATGTAAGTCTTAATAACAAAGTTATTAGTCTTCTTGTCCAAACTTGCATATAACAACCATTTGCAATTTACCTTGCAACATCTCACCCTTACTCTATTTGGCTCATTTACACACTTTTCAATCTGAACCCCTCTCTGAATTGCATACTTAGTGACTGCCAATCTAAACTCTTTTACACTTTCAAAAACCATACCCAATTGCCACACAATCTTCTTAATATTGGGATCAAATCTGACTCTCTCAATGGTATGTTTTTTCCTTTTTGTGTTAGGCAGTTTCAACTTCATTTTTTCACCTTCCTGTAGACAACTATCATCTGTGTCAGTTTCAAAACTACAAGCATCAGAACTTGCATAATATGGTTCATCACCCCCCAACCTTCCTTCTAAAGTACAGCTATTGATAGTTGTCTCATCAAACCCAAGATCTGCTCCAGCATTACCACATGCTACTTCTTTAGTATCTGTAGGAATTTTTTCCCTTCTTTTTTTCCTCCTCAGAAAAGATCTTTTCTCAGCCCTCAGTTGAATTAACTCCTCATGAACATCACTTCCATATTGATCATCTTCAAGTATTTCACTATCTTCAGAATCATCACTCTCTTCAGTTGACTCATTAGATTCTTTAACAGAGTATTCACTATCTTCAGAATCCGATGGATCACTATTTAGAGCTGTTGGGTTTGAAGTAGAAGGAATATTTGAGGTAGTATTTATAGTTATATCTACCCCATTATAAGCAGCTTCACCTTGATTATATCCACTATCCTCAATGGTCCCAAATTTATTAAAAGTTGCACCAGAATCCTCACCAGGCATGTGGACATATACTTCCAAAACAGAACCACTTTGCAAACAATTGCACATTTCTAAGAGAATATCATCATTGTCAATATCTCCTAAAATGCAACTATTAGGTGGCCGGACACTAAATTTACAATTTGGACTATACCCTAGTTCTTTAATATAGTCCTTAATCTCAAAGTATGATATTGTATCCACATCAATATCATAATATTCACTCACTAACCCACCCACATATCTTGCTTTATCACCTTCATACTACAAGGCCCCACCATGATAAAACTTTAAAGCAATGAATGTAAACCCACTCATACCTATATGCATAAACATAACAATAATTAAGTAAAAGTTGCTAATAGAATATAATAATTGACTAAGAAAATATATACCCAAATAGTTATAAAAACAATTCAAGTTGAAGAAAACACATACCCAGCCCCACACATACAGAACATAATACCCCACATAAATAACACAATACACGACATATCTTTATCTTCTTACAATTAGGTATGTAACCCCACACAGACACAACACAACATCCAGCATATATTTTCTTCTTAGGATAATGTTATTTAACTTTAACCCCACACCCACACAGACACAACACAATACCCAACATGAAGTTACTTTATTGTAACCCAGAGTATAAGACAGCACAGAAAAACACCCAACTCGTCTTTATCTTCTTGCATGTTTCATATTATAACAACATAACTCACACAAATATAATACCACCCAACCAACCCACACCCAAAACACGTTTCATATAAATGTATGAATAACAAGTTACATGCACCCATAACAACAAAGGTGACAGTATGAATATATGAATAACATCAACCCTAAAAATAAGAAATTTGATATCTAACAGAACCACAACATAAACCCTAAAAGTTATATTTCACTCAAAATCGAAATCAATATTTAACATTTCATAACCCCTACAAAATCTAAGCATAACAACAAAAAACAAAATAAATGAAGAAAAAACTAACCTTTGAACTCAACTCAGTCACGATTCTAGCTGAATGAAATCGACCCACGTCCCACACTGTCACAATTGAAATCGATCCACACACTGCAAGCAAAAATTAACTCCCAAAATCCAACAACAAAAATCAAATTTTGACTGGAAATCTAATTTCTTAGCTTTGAAATCATACATGCAAACACTTTCCCTCTATCTTCATCTACTTTTTCGGTAAAATGAATTTGGGAAAGAGTAAACGCCAGATTAGGGAAGTGTAAAGTCACTTTATTGAAAAGTGAAAAGTAGGTCCCGACGTGTGTTCAACAAACAAATGGACATTGCAGATTATTTTTGCCACGTAGGCACGTAAGGGGTAGTATATTACTTAAAAAATAAGTCGGGGGGGGGGGGTAATAGGACCTCATCAAAGATAAGGTGTGTCGTAGGGATTTTGGGTATAGGCTAGGGGGGTAATTGGGTATTATCCCAATTTAAGTGTAGAAATAAAAAGATATTTAAAAATTCTTTTGATTTAATTTGGACAATTAAATTAAAATAACTATTTTTAGAATGAGCGTCAAGTAATGTAAACGACAAGGTCATTCTCTATTGTATATGTAAGTCCAAGATTCCTTCGGCTTTCATTACCCACAATGTAAAACTATACTCTCCATCAACCTTACAAGCAGAAGAAGAACAGACTTATATTCGTTTTACAACGGATATAATATGTATTCATGCTCTCTCGATCTCTCTCGTCTCTCTCCTTCGAAAATGAATATAATTACATTCATTGTGATACAAATAAGTTGTATCGGTTGTATTCGTGATACAATCTGATACAACAAATACAAAAGGAATTCAACCTCCCTCTCCTCTCTCTTTCCATATTTCGCTCATTTCTCTTTATTATCTATTCTCGGTAACATGTAACTATAATTCATATTAACTAATGTATGTTTATAGATCTCCAATTAAGCCCGAAGAATGCTTATTTTTCGAAATATGCTAACTTATTGTAAGTGGTCTTTAAAACGTCTTAATATTTCTATTGTCCTTATGATTCTTTTTATTTTATTTTACTTGTATACAAAAAAAGAGGTGTTTCATTACTCGTCAAGTTTACCAAATTATGTTTTTTTGGCAGTACTCAAATTTAGAGTTTCAAAAAATTATTAATAAGATTAGTTAATAAGTAAAATATACTTCTAATCAAAATTTTTTTGTGAGATGTGTCGAGTGTACTATATCACATATATCCTATGAGAATGGTGTTACACGTCTTAGATTGGTATTAAATTTACTTTTGAATAGTAAAGATGTTTACTAGATCATCATGATCGTTTAAGCGTGTAAGTGACTTTTTGAGACAAGTTCAGAAGAAAATTTATGTCCTTTTCCTATTTAATATTAAGTATAGAAATAAAAAAATATTTAAAAATTCTTTTGATTTCATAATTTGGAAAATTAAATTAAAACAACTATTTTTAGAATGAGCGTCAACTAATGTAAACGACAAGGTCATTCTCTATTGTCTATATAAATAAACAAATTCTGATTGATACTAATGGAGTATTACATAAATTTTAGTTTAAAATCTGAATAAATACAATATGTAAAAAATTGACCATAATTAAATTAGTTATTTATTGCTTTCTACATCGAAATATATTTGTATAGTTATTATTCTCTCTATTTTCACTAATATAAATAAATATTAGAGTCTTGACTATTAAAAATAAAATCAATTTTCTCATCAAGCTAATTTACTTCATTAAAGAACATCACTAACTTATATATTTAATTAATATTTCTCACTTTAACATAACATTTAAAGTTATTTTCCAAAAATAAATATAGAGTTATTATAAGTAGAAATCTTAGAAGAGATTTGTGCAATTTTCCATAAATGAAACGGCAAACACATGACTATTATTAACTTATATAAAATCATGCATTAATTACAAGGAACTCTTAACCTCATATATATAATACGACTAATATTGGTCAAAACATTATTTTATTCTTCATATATACAAGAGAAGACACAATCAATATCTACATCAACAAAGAAATCATCTCCCTAATGGAAACAATTGTTAAGTTTTGTTTCACTCTCCTTCTCCTTACACTTCTCACCAAAGGTAAACGCTTCTAGCCTTTTGATCTTAATAATAACTAGTATATATATACGTTCGATGCGTGGATTAATATAAGTTTTATATTCATATATATACATAAATTTCTTTTGTTTTCATACGACTTTTGATTAATAATATTATATTTTTTTAAGATCTTTTATGTATAATAATTTTCTCTTTTTTATTGAATTATATTGCACAGAAAAAACAATTCAATCAGCCTTTCTTAACGTGCTTTTTCAAGGAAATATCAATACAAATTAGTAAAAAAAAAATTATTGATTTATGAATAAATTATTTTTATTAACCTTTATCTGAATAGGACATGTGTCATTATTTGTTTAGATTACTTCTTCTTTATTTTCTTGTTAAACTTTAACTTGTTTAAATTGAAACAAACAAATAAATCAAATCTAAGATGAATCTTTCCCCCCAAATAATCTACACTACAATATTTTCATTAATTAATGGGTTACATATGTCAAGAATAAATATCTTTTTTTAAAATAAAATGGATGGTCAAATTTTCTTTTATTCATGGTAAAAAATCTTTCATTTAAATGTTCATATTTGATTCCCATATCCGGTCAATTTTGCCTATTTAGATAATTAAATACAAACACTCGTAGTCCTCACACCAAATCATTTAGTGGCCTATTATTCCTTTGAAATTGTCAAATATTTTGATACAAATTTAATTATCAATAAACGACTAATATTTATTTGGGTCTGATTTGTGTTGTTGAGATTACCATGATTCAACATTTAGTGAGGAAAAAATTATGTTGTTCATGAATTGTTGTCTGCTTCAACCTGAACTTTCTCTTAAATTTTTTATTTGATTGTGTAGGTATTTCGAGTTGTGGTTTGAACAATATAACAATTGGAACAATAAGGAGTGGTGTAGTAATAAAGGGAATGCCAGAATGGAATGTGGTTGTGGTGAACAATTGTGATTGTCCCATGCAAAATTTGGTATTGTCTTGCAATGATTTTCAGACAACAGAGCCAGTGGATCCAACTCTTTTCAAGCCTTTGGGAAACAATCAATGTAGTGTCAACAATGGCAATGCCATAAAAGGAAAGGATACTGTCAAGTTTTCTTATGCTTGGGATCCTCCTTTTTTTCTTAGGCCAACTTCTGTTAATGCTTCATGTTGAACAAACTATTATATGATGTCGAGTGGGCGTTCAAGCCACCTGACTATAAGCAAAGGAGGTTTGACTAGTATCATACTATTATTATAATTTGAGTTTTAATGAGAGGGTTCTAATAGGTTCTTCTTTCACTTGTTGGGCCTCAAATGCTCTTAACCTTAAATGTTTGGTTTAAAATGACTTTCTAGACCTATCTATTGAAATTCCAATAATTATAACTTTTAACGGTAATATATATAAACATATTACTAATAAAGAGTATTAAAGTTTTTAGCGATATTAATTAAGTTTTAAGTTGTTTTGAGTTAGCTCGAATAAATCATTTTATGACATTAATTAAGTTTTAAATTGTTTTGAGTTAGCTCGAATAAATCATTTTAGTTATGTTTGGGCCAAATAAACCAATGCAACTTGTTTAATGAAAGTGATTTTTTCAAACTATATATATTATATATCAAACACGCACTATTATTATCTACGTAGCCATATTCTTAGTTTATACACACGTAGTCAATCTTTTTCACAACGGTGTTTATACATGATATACAATATTATATACAAATCGTAGATGGTATATCAACCTTGTATAACAGTAAACAATAGTTTATAAAAGGGTGTTTGTATACACTTTTACATTATTATACAATATTTGTGTTTCTATTTTTGGAGATGAAAGAGGAAAGAGGTGGCAATTTCTGGTTCGAAGTCAAAAGCCAAAAGCCAAATATGTACGGAGTGAGCTAGGAAAGCGAATGAAATTTCGACGAGCTCTGTTCTTGAATTATATAAAGGTGCAATAACATTATAGTGAATCATATGGTGTGCCTTAGGGTACTGTATGTATACATTCTATGGATTATGTGATCGAATGTCACTAGGAAGAATCTCTCAATATGAAAGAATCATTTCAAATAGTGTCATATCAAAATAACTACGATCCTTTTTTTTTAAAAAAAAAGTGGCCTAACAATGATATCCATACTTCATTTGTTCTAGCATTTGGAGGTCAATCCAATTATGACTACTGTTTAAATTGTATTTTCTACTTTTACTGTCACGACCCAAACTGGGTTGCGACTGGCACCCACACTTACCCTCCTATGTGAGCGAACCAACCAATCTAAACCTTAAAGTTTCAATATAATATCAACATAAAGTAATACGGAAGACTTAACTCATTAATAAAATCAATAACTATTATTATCCCCAAAATCTGGAAGTCATCACCACAAGAACATCTATGATCAAAGTACTAAACTAAGAGTATTCTAAAAAGCTAAAACAAATAAGGCTAGTCCATGCCGGAAGTTCAAGGCATCAAGACATGAAGGAGAAGATCCAGTCCAAGCTAGAAGAGTTAGCTCACCCTGAAGATCCGGTGTGACGAAGACTGGCTAGAATTACTGTTGAGTCGAAGACAACGGCACGTTTGCTGCACTCCACAAATAAACAAGAAGAAAATATAAAAGTAGGGGTCAGTACAAAACACGGGTACTGAGTAGATATCATCGGCCAACTCAAAATAGAAATCAATATATACCAATAATATCATAAAATCAACCATAATACTCAACATGTAGCAACAACAAGTACTATATCATTAACAATTACCGTCAAGTTCACACATGAGGACTCAAGCCTCAATACCATACTCATTTGGGAATTATGTTCATTAGATTGAGTATATTAACATCTTTCAAGATTCATTATCTTTATTTCTCTTGTGTCGGTACGTGACACTCCGCTCTCTCATATTCATTAATCCTCTTGTGTCGGTACGTGACACTCCGATCCCTCATATTCATTAATCCTCTTGTGTCAGTACGGACACTCCGATCCCCTAAGTCTACGTGTCGGTTCGTGACACCCGATCCCCTAATTCTACGTGTCGGTTCGTGACACCCGATCCCCTAATTCTACGTGTCGGTTCGTGACACCCGATCCCCTAATTCTACGTGTCGGTTCGTGACACCCAATCCCCTAATTCTATGTGTCGGTTCGTGAAACCCGATCCCCTAATTCTCCTTCCATCAACTCATCAAGCCTTCTTTCTTACCAAGGCATCATCAATCTCATTACTTTAGTTCATCAAGCCTTCTCCCTTACCAAGGCGTCATCATTAAAAAGAGATTAGGTTTTTATCAAGATTTGGGATTCAATAACTTCATCATGCTTAATATAATCACAATTATATAATCACGTTCATGCATGCATACAATTAAGCACATAGCAGGGTTTACAATAATAACAATACAATAATACCAATACATATCATTCTTTCTATTTTCTTTATTCAAACCCTCTTTCTTTTACCCTAATTAGTATATAATTAAGGATAAAAGATGGCAATAATGCCCCACTAATTAACTTAAGGTTACCTCTTTTAACCCCCCAAGTAATTAGACTTATTAACATTAACCCACTAACTTTATAATTAAGGCAAGAATAGTCAAAAACGTCCCTTAAAAAGTATCAAGAAATCCGATCCAGACTGGGATTGCGCAACCTGTGACGGGCCGTCGGGCCTGCGACGGTCCGTCCTGCAGGTCGTCGCAAAGTTCAGAGACCCAAATTTCCATCAAGGGTCTGTGACGGTCCGTCACACCTGTGACGGTCCGTCACACTTGTGACGGTCCGTACTGCCATTTCGTTACGTAGTTCAGAGAGTTGATTTTCAGTACCCAATTTCAGATTTTC